GGTTAACTTTTCCAGTAAACAGCTGATAATAAATAATCATAAGCATTTAGAGTAACAATTTCACAAAAGTAAGCATGTGAGACTGTGACTAATGATGTATTAGTCACAGTCTCACATGCTTACTTTTGTGAAATTGTTTACTCTAAATGCTTATGATTATTTATTTGTACAACTCTTGACTGAAACATCCTTTCCCAATGACAATTACAACATACAATCTTATAGAAAACTCTGAGAATGTTTTCCAGTTTTACACAAGTAAACACCTGTTTAATCCACATATCGAAGGTAAGGGTGAAATGTTTCCACTTTAGACATCTAGCTGTTGTGAAGACCAGAGCCTTTTGCAGATGGATCTCATTTTCATATGACAAATGTTTTCTGTGCTCACAAATTTTGGAACTCCATTACTACAAACTACTATGAACTTTTCTCTCCAGCCTCCTAAATGAGACACAGCAGACATTTCTCACTAGTGAGGTAATAACAGCGCTGTTTAGAGTTGGACGCACAGAGGTAGCCTAATTCACACAAACTCTCTCTCTCTCTTTTTCTCTATCCCTGTGTGTCTCTGTCTCTCTCGCTCTCTTTCTAATAACTTCATTAATAACTGCATTAGAATGCTATTAACGGCTCAAGAACATTACAATTTTATTAACAGAACTTCAACTGGCTGCTCTATATATTTCACCAAAATGAAAATGAGGAACAAAATCTTTTTTTCTTTTTATATCAGGAGCCATTTGACAATGAGACTAAGTCAACTGATTATATTTCCAAACATTACTTCTGCTATTAAGTGTAACAATCCAGGGAGAGCTTTGTATGAATGAGGAGTCTGACAACAGACAGGTCCACACAGAAATCTGATCTCAGCATCACTGAGCCCTTCTGGGATTACATAAAGATGCAGAAAAAAAAACTGAAACAGACTAAATCCATAACAACAGTGGAGAAATCTACCTCAAATATTGAGCACAAGTGCACCCAGCACAGTTTTAAAAGCAAAGAGTAGATGTCTCTTCATGTAATCACAAACAGACTTGATGGTGAGATCAGATTTCTGTGTGGACCATCCTTTTGTTTCCTTGTGCAAACTAAAATCTCTCTGGAATGTTAAAAATAAATAACAAAATTAAGGTTTGGAAAAGTAAACTGATATTTCCTACTGGCACAGTAAAGCGATCTGTTTGATGAAAAATGTAACATGCCTAAGACTTTTGCACAGTACTTTATTCTTTAAAAAATGCAAAATATAGTTTCATGAACATTAAGAAAAATTGATGGTTGATAAACAGCTTTTCAGCATGTTTTACATTGTTAAAATAGGTCAATCTGTTGAATATTTTCCCCTGCTGTCGTCACAGGAATGAATGGTTAACTAGTAATCAGAATGAGTTTTTCCTGACGGGTGGACAGGCCTCCTTGTCACATGTATAGCCTACAAAAACAAAAAAACAAAGAAAATGAATAAATAAAACCGGTTACACTTTATTTTAGGGACTAGCATGCATATTACTACCATATCTGTTTATGAGTAATTATAAAGCACATTTTAATGCCTTATTCTGCAGTTTATAGAGGAAAATGTCATAGTTAATAGTTCATAGTGAGAATTGGACCTAAAATAAAGTGTGACCAAAAAAATCTTTTCATTTTATATGATATCAAATGGCCTCCACCACTAACCCTATCCTCACTAAAATGGTACACTGCACTCTAAAATAAATGCCTAACCACTTGCCACCACTAAAACTATTCTCCCCAGTCTGAGACTGCTGGACTTACGCTGCTGGTAATTGCTATGATCTGCAGTCTGTGTGCAAAAGGGACTTTACGGTCTGTAGCAGACATGGGTAGGAAAACTTAAACTTTCATTATGACACCAAATTCACTAAGGCGCATACGTGTTAAAAACATCCAGCATGCAGTTATCACCAAAACTCTCTGCGTAGTGGATCTGATCTATTTCAAACTACATTTTATTTTCTCTCCCTGCAGTGTCCTTTGCTGAAATACAGCCCCAGAATCGGTCTGTGCGTGCAGGGGACCGTTTTGAGTTTGTTCAGAGAGAAGAGCTTCCACAGTTTTTACAGTTAATCTGGATGAAAACAACTTTTTCCAGAAATCACTCAGAAACCATTGTGACATACTACAATAAGACTAAGGCCACTGACCCTGCCAGTTCGTACAAGGACAGAGTGGTGTTCAATACTACAAATTTCTCTCTAACACTGATGGGAATGCAAAAGACAGACAGCGGACTTTACTGCACAACAACAATTGGAAAAAAAACCATAACTGTTTGTCATTATAATGTATCTGTTGTTGGTAAGTGTAGAATTTAGGACCTTAAAATCAACACTAGCCAAAGCAGATTCTGCTCTCAGAGGGAAGTGGCATTACTTAAATCTGGATTTTCACACCAACCTTTTTCTTGTTGCTGGTATCCGTAGCGATAGCAACCCAATTAAACGGCGGGATTCAATTTTGTGAGCATTACATTGATTAATTCTGTATATGTGTTAATCCATGTTCCACTTGAAAATAGCATATAATTCTCCTGTTGTGAATCATTCATAAGACATCTCTCAGCTTCACTGTTAAAATGTCAAATCTTATTTTCTATCTCCAGACTTTAATGTTATATATTTCTTTTCTTTGTTCTTTCTTTTTTTTTTGCAGATAACCACGGATCACCCACTACCATTTTTCTTCCTTGGATATTACTTACCTCTACACTGAGTACAATAATGTTCTAAATTGTAATATGTTAATATCATAAATTAATACCATAATTTTAAAGATTAAAAAAAAACTTTTTTTTAAGAATTACCAATCGCAATTATTTAAAAAAGAAATGCCATGACAGTGAGATTAGTATGATCAAACAAGGATAATGAATAACGAAACAATACAACAAAACATTCTTGTATCTTATTTTGTCAACACGTGCTCATTACAATGTCAATTGCATATTTCTTGATGTTGATTTACCAAGTCTGTTTACATTCCATAGACATATGTCTACCAAAATTTGTAATATACAAAATAAACAGTAGGCTATATTTAAAAAAAAAAAAGTTTCAAGATTCCAAGAGCATATGAAGGAGGTGTAGCGTCTGGACCAATCAGACACACCATTTTTCATTTGATTTAACAAATCAATTATTCATTAGATTAACAAATCGTCACAGTCCCCTCACCCAATAAACTGGATGTCAGGATGTCTGCCACCAGGCCCCCCCTGGTTACCATGGCAACCCTGACACCAGATACATTTACGACCTCCTGGAATTTAGGTGGAGAAAATCACTGCCTTGTCCATAAGGAAAATCCACAAGGGATGGACTTTTCTTTGCTAATTAATTAATTAATAGGAAAACCTTTCTTTGAATGAACACACATGGTCCTTCAGGTCATTGTGTATATTATTGTCATCGTGTATTTTTGTCTTTGAGATTGTATACTGTTTTATGCAGGCTTATGATCGAAACACTCACTCCTGTCAGCTTACATATATATATAACCCTACTATGTTTAGTATCTATGAATTAGTATTTGGATGATCTAATTGAGAGTGTATATTGTATGTTTATACCTATGCAACATATTAGTGTTCTAAGAATCTTTATTAGTTTGTGCATCCACACCCCAAGTGAATTACATGTGCAAATTACCATGCCCTCGAACAAAGGGTCGTAAAACCCTCCAGCAATTGCAATCTCCCGCTTGGAATTTCTTCCTTTCTCATTGGACAAGCCCACCTTGAGAGGCGTGACTCTTCTCCGACCTTAAAGGCCCACACCAGGGACCCTCCCAGAGTTCGGTGGTTCTGTTAGGCTTCGATAAGATGTGAGCTCCAATGCTCCAGAATATCCTAAGTTACGTGCCAGGCTTCGGCCTCAACCTTTCCATTTATCAAGATTCTCTGACTCAAAACTAGTTCTTTTCATCGACCAGCTTCAGCAAGGATCACTGGGACTTTCAGATTGCATCAAGCCTTTCTTTCAGACAGACGAGACTTGCAAGGATCCAAACTTAGTCTTATTAATTGATACATTAGGTATCATTTTCACCTTGTTACAAAAGGAGACAATGTAATGCACCAGTACAACACTTAATTTATATTTGCACCTAACTCTCTAGTCCCATCTGAAAGATTATGTCTTCTAAACATAAAACAAATACATTTGGATTTTCCAGCTGATACCAATTCATAAATATGTATATATCTGCCACAACACACTTTTTGGCGGGGTTTTTCTCTACAGTAAGTGTTGATATGCAAAGAGTTGTCATACCAGTGTGGAATCTTTTAAAGTTACAATTGTGCGATAGCGATGTGAAGTAGACTTAACAGGGCATTCCAATATGCAGTGAGTGCCTATGTTCAGTTCACTTTCCCACCTATTTAAATTAAACTGTCTAGTGAATAAGTGAGGAAGTATATGGAGGGAAAGTTCAAAGAAGCATGGGAGAAGTTTATCTAAAATAAATGCAGTGAAAATAAACGTTAGTGCTTTTTTTGTTTAATTAATCTTAAGTGTGGTTTGTATGCCTTGTTTGCAGTTATAAAGCACACATGCATCAGTTACTGTACATTGCAGCTACACTCAAATGAATTTATTACCCTTACTTAATTTAATTGAAGTCTTTACACACAATTTAATTTAGTTCATTCTAAATAAATCTGTTTAGTTGAGTCAACACAATTTAGTTGGTTTAGGACAAATTCATTTATTTTAGAATGTTCAACTTAACTTTATTACGTTTCTCGGAAAATAAATTCTTATGTGGGACTATTTTTTTAAAACAACTTACTGAAGATTAATTAATTCTCTTATGTTTACCAAGCAGGTGTACTCATTATTATATACAATGTATATATAAAAGCTATATATTGAGTGTCTACAGCCTAAGCACAGGCAACAGTCTTCTGCATAATGGTAACCACAAAATTCAAAAACATTACAACACTCAGTCCCTTGCAAAGCATGATGGGAATTACAGATCCACTGCCTGTTAGTTATATCCGCAAAAATGATTCATGTAGTTTTAACACAAATTAATTAAGTAAACTTTAATTTTAAATATATTAAGTAGTGTTAACTCAAATAAAATTAAGTTGTTACAATATGTACAAAAACTGTGTTAGTTTAGCTCATTTTAATTAATTAAACTGAACAAAAGGTAAAAAAAAGGCATTTATCATTCAAATCACTCAGTTATCAAATATGAAATATTATTCATTTAAATTTACAATAAATATTTCTGATAATTTAAAGGTCATGTTCATATTTCTGTAACAAGTCTTTTCCAATACCCTCTCTGTTTCTAGCATCCGTGTGCAAAGCTGAAAATGCCGTCTCTGTGCAGACAGGAAGTTCTGTTCAACTGGACATACAGACTGATAAACTACTACCTTTTAATACACTGGTCTGGATGAATCATGAATCAGAAAATATTGTGACATTCAGTAAGAAAACTGTAGAGACAGAGATTAACAACTACAGTGTGGTTTTCAATGAGTCAACCTTCTCTCTAACACTGAAGAACACGAAAAAGACAGACAGTGGAATCTACACAGCAACAATATTTGGATCGAATAATATAAATGTTGCTAAATACAGAGTATCTGTTATAGGTGAGTCTGAGTTGCATGTTAAACCACATTAAAAAACAATATCAAGAATAAAGGTTACGTGCTTAAATTAAATCATAATCTTGCAGAGTTTCAATGTTTTCTGTAGAAAATGCAAATTTTTACCTTTTGGCCAAAGCAAATTTTTCAGTTTCACTTCTGAATTTGCTATGCAAAAAAGTTTGTAAAAAAAAACTTTCTAGGGTCTGTCATATATGATGCATTCTCATGCAGCAGTTTTCATAAATATGTTTCAGATCCAGTGGATTCTCCTGTTCTTAACTGGAACGTCACCATGATCGCTGTTAACTCCTGTATTGTGAATGTCTCATGTAGTGGGCATGAAGGTACAATCAGAGAAATCTACCACAGCAACAACTGCAGCCAGAAGGAAAATATATCATCTGAAATACAGACTCTAACCCTGTATTGTAAAGAGGACATAGTTATTTGTAACTATAGCAACCCAGTCAGCTGGAAGAATGACACAATACAGATTAAACACCTCTGTACACCTTATCAAAGTAAGTAAGTGGCCCACAAACCCAATGCAAAGCATATAAATGCATTTTCTAGTCATGCATTTTTAATTTATTAGCCATTTATCTTCACTATTTCTGGAGTATTCTAATGACTGTAGTTGTTAATCTAATGTTTTTTATTTCAGAAGAGAATCCACAGACAACAGGAGACAACAACAGTTTTTTTCCTCTCCATTGGCTCATTGTCATTGTTATAAGTGCTTCATTGTTGATTTTAGTTGCAACTGCTGTAACATACTGCTCATGCAAGAATAATAACAAAGGTATGTTTATCTTTTATCTCAAATATTTTACAAAATTATCAAGAGCTTATATCCTCAGAACAACAGCTTTATGGGATTCAAAATGGTTGTGTGATATGAGGCACCAGTTACAATTTTACTTGCGCTTACATGAATCTCTGAATACACAAAGGTGAAGCAGTCACATACTGAATGCACAAACAAATACATATGAAAAGCTTATACACACCAGCGTCAGATCTAGAACTTTACATCTACACAACACTTACATAATGTTTGACTATTTCACATTTGTGTATGGAGATTTATGTAAATCTTATATGGTGCCTCATAGTGGAGAAACCAAGGATCTATGGTGATAGTAACTGACAGGAGATTCTTTATAATAATACTATTCTAAATCTCTTAGGTGCCCAGCAGAATGATCATACAATCTATGCACAAGTTCAGGTAAGCTTCAAAATACTACTTCACCATGACATCACAATTCTTATTTGTTAATGGAATATTGCCGTGTTTATTATATATGATTTATCCATGCACATAATTCATTTGTTCAAATGTACGTGTCGTCATAACATGTAATCAAATTAATTTCCCCTCTCCTTGCATCAGCATCTCTGCGCTGATGACGTGTGCACTGGTGTGAAGGCGGAGCAATAACCGCTCCCCTCCAGCAGCCCGTCACTCACATGTGATTGCAGCAATAGCAAACAACAGCAATCCAATTAATTCCTGATGGACAACACCAAGTCCCGCTCTATATTATTTTCTCATTCGAGAAGCCATTTCACTCAGATATACATCACAACATAGATGACAAGATAACTGCAACTTCCGTTTATGCCGATTTTAATCTTTTTTTTTGTGCAGCCATGACGGATTATAATTGCTCTTAATTCAAGAATCCTCATGAGTCATGTGATGGACATTTGGGAGGTTGTGTGGCCAGTAGCTCAGGGGTGGTTTGAGCCCTAGAAAGAACGTGACGTGTCATCATCATCATAATTTTACATGTAATAAGTTTATTGGAAAACAATTCTGATAAAATCATCCACCAAATATCTACTTAATTTTACACCAGAGGAGCCCAAACTTTTCAGTATAAAGGGCCAAAAATCAAACTTGATTGAAGGCTGAGGGTCGAAAGTAAATTTTGCATTATATCCAAATATATTAAGATTTTGTATTATGAAAAATCGAATTCATTTCCAGTATATTCTCTAAATTTTAATGCAGAAATAGAACAAAAAGTCTTAAAACAGAAAGATAAATTAGTAATGAAGATTTCCAATGGCATGTTTTCCCCCCTATTATTATGGCATGATATGGCATGGCAGGGCAAATCAGAGGTCATCGTGGGCCAACTTTGGCCTGTAGACCCTGGTTTGGGCATCTCTGTTTTTTAAAGAATTTTTTTGTTGGCAGTTTAATGCAATCATACACTTTGTGTACTTAATCAGAGCAAAGTTTCAGAACATACACTATATGGCCAAATGTAGCCTATATGGATAGCCAACACTACACCTGTAAAGGAATGCATCCACTATACTATTAAAGAACACTGCTCTATATGTTGGAACATGACTGTATGGATCATATGCACAACAGCATCAGTCAGCTTTTCAGTTCAGTTCAGGTCTGGCCATCAAGTTTTTCCAGCCCAAACACAGTAAACCATTTCTATGTAGGACTTGCTTTGTGTACAAGGCCACTATCATGCTGAATTTGAAAAGGGCCACAAATGTTGTTCACAATTCCCTTGACTTGAGTAACATTGGAAGCCTTCTTATTAAAAACTTGTCTTCATTGGAAGAAGCAGCAGTGGGTGTCCAAACACTATTAACCATGTACATTTAAATGTGTATGTAAATATTAAGTGGTATAGAAGGATCTGTATGACTGTTTGATTGGATTGTTCTACAGCCAAAGAACAAAGTACAAAGACCCCTGGAGATGTTGGAGAAATCAGCGAATCCTCAAACTGTGTATGGATTTACACAAGAACACAGACACTCTCACAATACCAGTCAGATAATGTCCAATTCTGAGGTAAGAAAGAGACAAAAACATCCATTGGGGAGAATTTTCTAAGTTAAAAATAGTAACATGTTAACTGTATAAATATCTTGAGTCTGAATACATTTCCTAATTTAACTTCAAGGATTTTCTGGTTTTGTTTATTGCATTGTTAATATGGCTTAAAAATTCACAGATACCAACGGAGATGCAAAAAAACAATCACCCCAGCACCACCTACAGTACAATTGGACAACACCAAACAACATTGCTTGACACTGAAACGGACCATACAGTTTATTCAATAGTGTGTAAATCCTCAAAAGGCAGACCGCCTGTGAATTAATACAGAATCAGAATCAGAATCAGAATGAATCAGAAACAGAATGAGCTTTATTGCCAGGTATGTTTACACATATGAGGAATTTGTTTTAGTGACAGAAGCTCCACAACGCAACAGAATGACAGTGACAAGACAGGACACAGATAATAAAAAGAATAATATACAAATAAAATAGACAATGTACAAAATAGCAGAAACACAATATATAATATAGACAATGATGTATGTATACAGTAGGTTAATGTAAAATTTGGCTGAGTAGGTACTGTGTTTGTCAGTATATATCTTAAATATTTCAATAGGACATTCTTGTACATTTGTCACACATCATGTACAAGCATACAAAGTCAGTGTAAATTAGTGTTCATTTGGGTAGACTCAAAAGCTGTCACTCGGGTGGTACCCTTAAGGTCTAAAATGCAGACTTTAGGTATTAGTTTTTAATTGTTTTTAATTGAACTGATGCCATTTTCACACAAGCAAGAGGTAATTTCAAAACTTTTAGTACTAATTAAAAAAATAGTTAAAGGATTAGTTCACTTCCAGAATAAAAACTTCTTGATAATTTACTCACCCCCATGTCATCCAAGATGTTAATGTCTTCAGTCGCAAAGAAATTATGTTTTTTGAGAAAAACATTCCAGGATTTTTCTCCATATAATGGACTTCAATGGGAACCAACGGGCTGAAGGTCCAAATTGCAGTTTCAGTGCAGCTTCAAAGGGCTCTACACGATCCCAGCCGAGAAATAAGGGTCTTATCTAGCGAAACAATTGGTCATTTTCTAAAAAAAAATAAACATTTATATACTTTTTAACCACAAATGCTAGTCGTGCACTATAGCTCGACTTCACGCATTACGTAATCACGTTGGAAAGGTCACGAGTAAAAATCGACGTGTTTCAGAAAGGCGGGGCATAGAGGAGAAACAATAATGTACAGTATGTGGAAAATAATGTGTTTTTTGAACCTTAAACCACATAAACACATTTCATTACACCAAATACACAAAATAATGTTATTTTTAGCAACATCATATGACCCCTTTAATACTATAGAAAAGCAATAAAAGTTTTTCAGTTTGAGTGTTTTCAGCTTGTTTATTTTCGTATAAATATTTGGCACGCAGTTGCTTCAAACAATGGTAACATCATTCAATGTAAATTGTGATAGTCGTAATTAATAATTGCAATTACAATTTCAAGGGAATAATCGACAATTATGATTTTTGTCATAATCATGCAGCCCCAGTGTGTATAGTAGATTTTACATTGGTAGTGATGGAAGGGGTCAAACAGGACCTTGATGAATGCTGAGTTCTGTACTTCATTTGTATTTGTTATCATGTGTATAGCTTTTAATTTTGTCGATCATGCTTTGCACATTCCTTCTGGAATCTGGTATATCCATGAGTGCTGTGAAAGTTAAGTGCACCATTAAATGGTTTCCTTAACAGCTGTGTTCTGACTTTAGCCACTTGTTTGCATTGAAACAGCTCATAATATACATTTTATCGAGGTATCACGAAGATGAGATATCACGTTGCTTGCTATAACATATATAAAAATGACTTATGTTTTATAACATACAACAGAATTGGCATAGCTCTGAATCCAAACAGCTAATAGAAAAAAAACACATGACTTGATTACTGAAATATTATCAGGAATAAATAAATAACTAAACTATTTACTTGTTTACCCATTTTAAAATTCTTGTCAATTCCCAAACACGTTCCTGAATGGTCATTAGCTCATTATTAGAGACATAGATATGCATAGGTAGATGCCCTATTGCTGTTTCTATGGGCCGATATATCTAAGCCGTCCACCATATTGGAATAGTCAAAGTAGGGATGCACCAATTCGATACTGTGCGTATACTATTTTGTGTTATTGTTAAGCCCCACAAAAGGCACAAAAACATTATAAAGCACCATAAAATTGCATACACTATATTCCAAGTCTTCTGAAGCCGTTCCATAGTTTAATGTGAGGTACAGATGAATATTAAAAGGCAGTGTAGGTGATTTGGTTCAAAGTATAATTTTCTGAAATAAAGTTCATTGTTGCATATTTTTCATTTTATGTTCTGGTTGTTGTGACCTTTACAGATTACAATGTCAAATGAATCGGCACTATCATATAACAGAAACAATAAAGTGGCTACAAATTATTTTAGTTTTAGCATATTTACAGAGTTTACAATGCATTTTTTCAATCTCAAGTATATTTGCAATTTTAATGATTATTAATGTTACTTGGAAATGGATGAAGATACATCTTTTTCATTGACTAAAATGTGAGAACTTGTCACAAATTGTCATGTGATGCTGTGGTTGTTGAATTCAGCTCCCTTGATCTAAAAAGAGCATCTATAAAAGTGTCAGACATGGAAAGTCTGCTCACTCATCAAGGGCATTTATAAGGCATTAATTAATGAGGACAGGCTTCACCTTGGCAACAACATGCTCTTTGAAAACTCCATTAACAATAGCATTCAATAGCTAGGACACACTTCAATATTTACTGTAAGTACATTTTTCAAAACTTTTTATAGTAACCAACTTTCATCTTTCCACAACATGCTTTGTCACTTATAAAACAATGATCTAAAACACTAACAAGTAGTATCTGTCACCTTTATGTTCTTTTAGTTTCATTAAAGTTTATTTCTCGTCATGTTCCTGTTTCCTTTGTTCTAGTTACCCGCCAGTCATCAGTTTCCATGGACACTCATTATCCATCATAGCTGTTTGTCATTTTAGTTTATTATCACTGTGTATTTAAGGTCCTCTTTATTCACCATTCAGTTGTATGGGATTGTTTGTGCTTGTGCAACATATACTGTGTATTTTTTGATTTATTAAGGAAACTTTGTTTTACTCTCATCATTGTCTTTTGACTTCAGCGTTGTTTTCTTATGTAAAATTTCTTTACAAAACAAGAATGACACACCTCTACTGTTGCCTCATTACATGGCCCATGTTTACATTACAGTCCACGTTTTTCCTAAGTTGTTCTATTCCTAAATTATTCCCAATTTTGAGAGATGTAGTGATTGAATGTATTTTGTGGCAAAGCAATGGAAATTATCCACAGTTTATCAAACATAGAGTGCTGTTGTACTCACTGTGTGAAGAGTTGATCTGCATATTGAGAAATATGGCCCAGCCACTGACCTATATATTTCTCTATTATAGATCAGACTATATAAAAAAAGTGTAACCTATATCTTCATGCAAAGATTTCTATATGTTTCAGATCCAGTGGATTCTCCTGTTCTGAACTGTAACGTCATCATGATCAGTGTTAATCAGTATTGTGAATGTCTCATGCAGTGGGCTTGATCATACAATCAGAGAAATCTACCACAGCAACAACTGCACTCAGGAGGAAGTGACATCATTTGGAATCCAGACACTGATCTATAATAGAGAACTGGATTGCTCATGACGTCATTCCCTAGTATCAACCTAGCGATTGGTATATCCTAGTATTTATTTGTATTTTTATTTTCCATACTATGGAAGTCAATGGGGACCAGCAGCTGTTTGGTTACCCACATTCCTGAAAATATCTTCTTTTGTGTTCAGAAGAAGAAGAAGAAGAAGAAAAACTCATACAGGTTTGGAACAACATGAGGGTGAGTAAATGGCAGCTTTCATTTTCGGGTGAACTATCCCTTTGCAGATCCTTAAATACTGTATATTGCCATAATATCATGTGTGTAGTTTCCAGAGTAGAATTTGTTTCCCCCTGAATCAAATGTTATGAGGATATTCCCATTTCTCATCCTTCTTTCATTCTGATCAACTTTTGCTTTATTAGTGAAACAGTAAATTCACACATACTGTGGAGTAAGTGTTTTTACTGAGACTCAACTGACTCCATAATGCTCAGGTTTCTACCACAGTCCAAGCTGAACTAAAACTGTTTCATATCATCTCAACGTTTTCAGGCAACTTGGCAGTTTCCTCTTTTTAAGGATGCACTGAAATGAAAACTCTTGGCTAAAGCCGAAAAAAATGAAACACTGGGCTGAAGGCCGAATACCAAACACATTTTTTCGAGTTTTTTTCCCCCCATGTAGTAAAATATTTTTTGGCCATCAGACCCCCTTCTTGAATCAAGCATGTATTTTTTACTGTACAAATAAAAGCAGCCTTGCTGAGCAGAAGAGACTTCTTTTTAAATATTAGAAAATATTACAGATACCAATTTGAACACTATGTGTGAATGTTATAATAATTGTATCACCAAGCTAATTATTATCATTATTATTGTCTTTTTATTTTATTTTACAGAACAACAATAAAACTACATAACATTTATGAATGTTGATGGAGTTCTTGCTTTTTCTCAACTTTTATTTTGGCCGAAACACACAGGAAGACATCAATGCTTCTTTTTGTTGACAACGGCAGATTTATAAACAAGTCATTATGAATACGCCGCACGTATCGTATTGTCACATGCCTTGTAAAAATTCATAAAAATGTGACTGAGCAACTGAGGAGTAACACTGTTTCAGTGCAGATTTTCCTCAAGCTTTGGACTTTGAACCCTGGTTAACAAAAAAATAAATAAATAGATAGCGCCGTGAGTTCGTGCAGTGCTGTCAGAATGCAATTAATGCAATTAGTGCGTATATTAGAAAACATAACGTTCTGCAGTTTATTTACTAATTGTTTAAGGCCATTTCGCAATTTCAGTCATCATTGTAACCAGCAACATTCACCCCTGTCTCTCGCTGTCGGTGCCTGTAATGATTTTTGCATCTTTCTCTGACAGTTTCCACACTGCTAACATGTTTCTTGCATTATAAAGAGTGCGCACCTCCCACTCTAAGCTGGTTGCTTTTTGACGTGCACATTCATTAAAACATGTAATATTATATATGTAACAAGAAATGTAACAAAGCAAGCATATATTATTTACTTTTCTTAAGATGCCTGCTTTAAGACTAATATGAATAACAAAAGATGTTAGACAATCAGTTTG